CTGTCTCTTAGGCACCGTGAAGTCGGGCCAAAATCCCCTTTCCCCGCCATGCAGGCTGGCCTTCCGGCCAAAACTGTAGACGCGACGGTTGACTGGCTTGACATCAGCTGACCGATCGCTTGCCGCTCTCTCGTCTCTGCACCATGACCGCCTGGTCAACATGTGCAAAAGGATGTGCGCCCTTTTGCCCCGCATTCTGTACCAGACAGCGCCCGAGTCTGATGCGAAAGAGATTAGTTTCCGTGATGCCCAAAGCGGTTGTTGCCTCTCAGGTTGCCCAGGAGAGACAACAGCAAGTCGCCTCGAGACGCAATGGCATTCAGCCACATGAAAAAAGGTCACATCGAGACGAAAATGGATGGCGGTGAAAAAAGGGAAAACGAGAAAATAGGCCTTCGATACGTGCCTCGTGTTTGCTCTTCGCATTCCGAACATCACAAAGCTCACCACGACCGAAATAGTGTCGTCTGTCTCCATGCCAAGTGAGTGGGTTTCGAAACTGCCGCTAGATCTCGAATAAAACCTCGAAGATCTTGGCTGTTGAAGTGGCTTTTGTTTTATACAAGTCGGTTGACCTCGTTGTCGCAACTTGGTCTTGTTGCCAGGGCGACTCAGTTGAACGCACCTAGTCCGAAGTCCTCTGCCACAGTGATTGTAGAGAGTTTGATAAGAGTTGATAGATAGGCCAGGACAGAAAGAGGAGTGATGTTGTTCGAGGGATTGACTTCACTTGTCTTTCTGACGAGATCGTAGCTTAGTGTGGAGCATGACAACACTCAATGATGATACCGACTTCGATGCCGACGAAATGTTTGAGAATGTACCAAGTCGACCGTCTGATGCTGGGAACCATGACAACTAACATGGCAGACGACTTCGGACTAGGTGCGTTCCACTCAGTCGCCATGACAACAGGACCAAATTGCGACAACCAGGTGTATAGATGGAAAAGAGACCGCGACCATACCAGATTCGACACCGTCTTGGTCCTCATATTTTAGCTTTTGTTTTGTTTGAATATGCAAACTGCAGGGATTCGTAAGTTGGTCTTGGAGCTGTGACTGTAGGTTTGTACAAACAACTCGTCCGCTCACCGTTTCGAGACCCTGATGAAACCTTGCCGAGCGTTCGTTCGTCATGTGACCAACATCGTCAGGGTATGGCAGCATGTTTTAGGAGACTTCACCGAAACCCGAAGACGAAAGTGAGTGGCCGGCTGCACTCATGCCAAATGCTTTTAGGCCAACTTTGCCCATTTCATGCAAAATCGCTGATTTCCTACATGCTGCTGTTGAAACGTAGAGTGACTGCAATTGTGACCGAGCAGCTGTACCCTCTAGCAAAGCACTTGTATTTTTTTATTCTGTAATGTTGACGCATATGATTGTGCTGCATTTCACGTGTATTGTGTGCATGCAATGTTTGCGAAAGACGTAGTGTGTGAAAGTGAAAACCAGCTTTGAGCTTAATCAAGCCTCCTTCTGCTACTACTACTCCTCTTGAATGATTGTAAATCTTGCTCCTAGAAAACCACTTTTTCTACATATTTTCAAAGGTCTTAAGTTACCAAAGGTGGAATAAGAATTGATAGTTGGGCCTCCCGCAAGGAAATTGATAAATTGACCACCATTTCATTGAGAAAACTCAACTCCTCCTCTTTACATCACGTCAAGATTTTAGTCATTACTCTCTTTTATTGCAAGTCTCCATCAATTGTGTCACTTGAGCGATAAAACAAATTGCTTTGAGAGTTTTTCTTTATTTTTCGAATTAACTATTGTTTTCGTGACTACTAGTAAATCAGTAGTATGAGATGTATTTACACAATTTCGTTTAAGGTGATGAAGGACTGGTAGAAGAAAAGTTTTTCCACAATGACATGAGTTGAGCTGACGTTTTTATTCAATTTCACATAGCCTTGCTTTCCCAAAAGTTGTTCTCATCCTTAAACGAAATTGAGGGAATACATTTCGCATTGAAAATTAACTATATTTTTCGAATTAAGTATTGTTTTGGTAACTACTAGTAAATCAGTAATATGAGATATATTCACCCAATTTTGTTTAAGTTGATGAAGGACTGGTAAAAGAAGAATTTTCCCACAATTATATGAGTTGAACTGACGTTTCTATTCAATTTCACATGGCCTTGCTTTCCCAAAAGTTGCGATGCGAGGTCAAAACTGCAGTCAACTGGTGCCTGGATGAGAACAACTTTTGGGAAAGCAAGGCTATGTGAAATTCAATGGAATTGTGGAAAAATTCTTCTTCTACCACCTTTAACGAAATCGGGTGAGTACATCTCAGTTTTTTTGCTTTAACGATAGTGTATTAGAAGAGCTTCTATTGACTGGCATATACAGTTTTGATCTCACATTGTCGATTGCTGTGGCAAAAATACCTTTGCTTCATCGACAATCCCACCAAAGAATGTGATATTGGAAAAGCCCTGGCCTTCCTAAAAATTCACATCTTCCCTGTGACCCAAGGACACTTCACTACAGCAAAGATGAGAACAATTTATGGGAAATCAAGGCTATGGGAAATTGAATGAAAAACATCAGTTCACTTCATATCATTGTGGGGAACTTCTACTACTGATCCTTCATCACCTTAAACGAAATAGGGTGAATACATCTCACATTGCTATTCTTATAACCAGTTTCAGTCTAAGGAGTAAGGAAAACTCACCGGTTTATCCGTGAATGACGCATATGTACTCTATATTTATTTTTTTTAATGAAGAATATAGTGATTTATTTAGTAATATGTCAATCTCGAAGCATGTGCATATGTCTGTTTCTATGCCTTTATATGCCTTCATGTGTTCGTAAATGTACAAAACTAGCAGTGATGGCTCAAAGGAACTGAAATATAATGTAAAGTTTGGTCTCAGTCATCAAGACTTAATAATCATCACTATCCAATTTTCTTTATATTTCAACCATTACTTCGTTTGCCTAACGCCAGACACACGTATGGTCATGCTGGTGAGCATTTTCAGATGAAAGTGTCTAGTGAAAGAGAGCCAAAGGTCAATCCCACCAAAATGCGACAGTAGCTTCCTCTTGGCTTTACTGGAACTTTCTTACAGACTCTGTCCTTTAGGCAATCTCCTTCGAGCCCGGTGGGAAAACTGCATAGCTATCCTCTCTCATTTGACGGACGTCATCAGAACAGGCTATCATCCTACAATCATATTCCTTTTGACAAGATAAGAAACGTCATAGATTCTCTTTTCCAAGGAAACAAAAGCCTCATGCGAAATTGGAGTGAGGTTTATCATAAAAATAAAAGTGGCTATTAAACTCGTTAGCTTGAGTATGGTTGTGAGAATGATTCCATCTGCTCTGGTGATGTGCATCATACGATGATCAAAGCTGAGCAAGTTTTCACAGGTATCGAAGGAGATTGCCTCGGAAACAGAGCCAACATTAATGCTACAGTAAAGCCAATAGACAGTTTTTTAAGTAGAATCTGCCGTAGTCTTCTTGTAAAATTCTCCTTCAAATCTCTTCACCAAACAATTTTAACTCAGAAAATGCCTCAAACTCCAACTTTTCTTCGCATATACAAGCAATACAGCTCCATGGAGGATGTGGATTGAGATAGAAATATAAGTTGGATTGCCTTAAATGACATGGTCTCCTTGGCATGCCATTGTTTCATCTGGTGCACAAGAAACTGATGTTTGGATGCTAGCTTCGAAGAAGAACAAGCGCAAGAACAACAAAAAGAAGCATGACAACACAAAGAACGAGAATGACAAGAAGATGAAGAAAAATAAGAAAATAACGGAAGAAAATAAGGATAAAAGAGATTATAAAAAAAGTGAAGCGAATACTTAACCTTGGCCTACATTCTTTGCACCATGACTACCAGACTGGAGGGCAGTTTCGAGCTAATCTTATCGTCTCAACAGTAGATCTGACTGAATTCGGCCATGTTTGTGTCACTGTAAATGCCAGACATGTTCAGTCTTGCATATCCCACAAGGCAAAGCAAAGCCAAACCATTTTCCATCACGTATTTGACCTTAATGAGACATGTATAGAAGAGATTCGTCCTGGTTTTCGCAACATCGACATGTTGCCATGGTGACCAGGATGAACACACCTTGTCCATGGTAGCATGGTAGTTATGCTGATCGTAGACTTGGTAGACTCTTAGACATTTCTCCAAGATCATATTCGGCGTCTTCAGTAATTCATTTCCGTCTTAGCACCAGACTGAAACTCGTCAAAGAGGCCGGTGAAGTCAATCACCAGATAAAATCTCTCCCTCTCTCCTGGTACATTCACAAATCCCATATCTAGTAATTGTTTACTTCACTATCAAAACGTCTGATTGGCCAATTTTAATCAACTCGAAAGATGTACCCTTTAGGGTGGTTAGAAAGTGTGATAATAAAGGGAACGATAGGAGGATGTAGAAGAGGTGAATAAACCGGGACAGAGGGAAGGGCACCACAACTATTCAGTCGACAGTTGTCCGAAGGATGGACCTTACTTGTCGCCTTGACGACCCCTTGACGATGTCGACAAAACGTCTGGAAATGTACCGAATCATCAGCTCAACTTTGGAAATACTCATGGCTACTATGGCAGAGGACTGCGAACAAGAAAAGTTCGCCCAGGTCACCTTGACAATAGGACCAATTTGTGCAAAAGAAGGTCAAGCCACTTCTGTACAGAGAAAGAGTATCGCAATCATGATAGTGGCCCCGCCGGCAAGGACTTGATACATGCGATGGGGCTCGGTTTGGTTCTGGGGCCACACGGCCATGACTAAAGCCCACGCTTGTGGTACATTGTGCGCTTGGCAACCAAAAGTTGTCTCTTTCCGGCATAATGTTTAAGAGATATATTTGCCCCAATTAATTCTATGTGATGGTCACATGAATAGACAATAAGCCTTCAGTTAATTTCGCATAGCCTTGCTTCATGAAACGTGTTCGCATTTAGACTAAAATGGACTGCACTTTCCACCTCTCTCGAACTGGTATCATCAGCACCTACAGCGAGACTCGAGCGAGGACAGTGCAGCGCACAATCTCTACACGTTAGCCACTACGCCATATTGCCACGAGTGTTCTTGGGCTACAGGGCAGATGTGAAATTTGGAAAGGCCAGACATTTCCCAATTTCGATGAATAAAATTTGTATTTTCTATTGCGATCGGATATACTACTTATTTGGGGTTTTATAAGTAGGTTTTTGGGATGAGGTGTATTGAACACATTTCGTTAAGATGATAAGTGGACTGGTGGTTGCATTTTCAAACATTCATATGAGCAAACGTTACCTGCGCCGGTGCAGCGCAGTGGGTAAGGTGTCGAGATTATATGCCGCATTCCAATGGTTCAAGTC